TCCCTACCTAAGTGTCATATGAAAATTATATCCTGTGCCTTTAGAAAAAGGGTTAATTTACCTTACAAAACGAGTCTACAAATCTATCGAGTAACCAGAGTTCAGTTATATCTGCTGCGGGCTCTGGCAGGAGAGCAGTAATAGTACGTGGTACTAGTGTTCGGAAAGTTTGCCCTATGTGTGATTAGTAATTAAAATCTTGGAAGCTTTCTGGGGGAAGTGCCTTCACAAGCATTTGTGCCTGTGTCCTAAGAAGCAATATCTGCAAGGTGTTTCAGGTTCTGCTGATTGGAAAAAAAAAAAACATAGGCAAGTAAATTCCGAAGAATCACGTAGAATAATAACCTACAATTTAAAAAGCTTATATAATTATAATTTGTATACCCAGCATTCTTACAGGCAGATTACTTGGCTTAACCAAGTAGATCTTTCTTTAGGTCATGCATGGTTTGGAATTAAAAAAAAACAAACAAACAACAAACAAAGCAAGCTACATAGGACAAATAGTAGAATCTTTGAGGAATGCTTTTTTCTGAAGGAGAAACTGGCTGTTAGTGAGCCACTGCAACACCCTGCAGTCAGATTGTGTACCTTAACACTGTGGACCTTATTCATAGTGTTGCTAAATGTTCATCAGAAGTGCAAGGCTACACGTCATGGAAAACTGCTGACTGCTGGGGTGTAGGCGTGCGTCTGTGAGGCAAATTTCGAGTCCTGGTTCCTGACTTTGAATAGTATGGCCAAAGTCTGAAAGTTACTGGGTTCTTTCTTTGCTCACTGCAAAGTATCTCTAAACTATTCAAGGAATAAAGGATGTTGAACTTTGGATTCTTCTGCTTTTCTGAATCACATTATAAATTATCTGATGATAGAGGTGGGGACTTGGGTTGCACCCTACAGCTTATAAATTGGTCTTTCGGATGTCTCATCTGCAGAGATGGCAGCGTACCCGCCAAGTATTTCTTGGCTTTTCTTCAGACAATCACTTACTCTGGGACAGTTAAACTACTGTATAAGCTGCTTGGCCACAGATAAAGAAGTTCTAGAAAGGTCCCTCCTGTCACCAGAAAAATATCTGTGGACCTGTCCATGTAGCCGTATGAGGTCACTCCCACATAACATGTTTTGGATAATGTTGAAGCCTAGGAAGCGCCTGTATTTGACCCTCTTTTTAAAAAAATTTTTTTAGTAAAGGTATTTTTTTAAGTCCTCCCTAGATTTCTGTAGTAGGTCACTTTATTTCCAGTACACAGTTGTATAGTCAAGGCACAAGTTCGTAAAAACTGAAGTAGCACTTCAGAGTTGGAAAATGAATAGGATTGTCTGTGTACCAATTTCCTGTTAATCACCAAAAACCTCAGGAATTGCCTTTCAAAGGAATTCTGAGGACAGCAGCCAGTAGGGAAGTTGGTCAGTGCCAGGACAGAGGAAAAAAAAAAAAAAATAACCTAAGGCCCCTGCAGAGACAGCCCTGGTCTCCGGGTTCTGGTCTCCGTGCTTGCTCAGGAGGGTGAAAACAAGCACCATCTCTGGAACATCGTTTGTTCCACTGGACTTTCTTCATCTGTTTTCCCAGAGTATTTCTTCATGAGATGGAAATTCTGACCCTCAGTGAAGCTATGCCAAACTGGGAGTTGTCATTTTCAGTAACATACAGTCATGACTTTTAAAGAGCACTGGGAGCTGCACTTTGTGATGCGTTAACTTCTAACCTCAGGAAAGGACACAAATTTCAGTTTCTGGCTGAATACCAAACCCTGCTTTATGTATGTTAAGAATACTGATAAAATACAAATCTCTGCGTATCAGTGATGTAATGGGGAAGTCAGTCCCTGAGCATGTACATTGACATTGCCCTAAAAAAGAAAGTCCCTTATAATGTAAGACAAATGAATCAGATAAATTAATCCTTTTTTAAGTTTCTTGTGTTTCTGCTCACCAAGTGTTATTTTGAAAAGATAATTTCAGTACCTGTGCATAAGGTCTGTTGATAGCAATGGTAATTGCCCAGTAACTGATAGTATGTACTAACGCTGTATATAACTTGTGCCATCGTTGTAAATGAAAATGTAAAAAATTATAGGAGCACTTCATTAGAGATGTAATTTGGAAAATATTCGCCTTTCCTTTGATTTCCTTCTTGTTTGTATTAAGACTTACAATGTTGATTGTCATGCTAAACTGTTTTGAAACATTCTTTATTCTCTAGGTGTAGAGCAATGTCATTGATGTATAGGTATCTTTTAATCCGTGTTTTATAATACTGCACTACTCTGTAAATAACAAGATACTGCTTTCTACGGTTTTGAAGATTCATTTTATAGTTTAGTTGTCTTCTCTTAACAATTTATGTACTGTTACCTATTATTTTGAAAATGACAGTGTTTAATGAACCAGTAAATGCAGAAATGTAGATGTAGAAGAAAACTTCTGCTTAAAATTCTTGAGAACCTGTATTCAGTGCTGAACAGTTACATGTGTGGAACATTGCTAAAATGACAGTTATTCATGCAATGATTTCCTTAAAACAAGCAGTGAGTTATTTTTCTTTTTTAACTCACTAACTCTGTAAATAATTTGCACTTATGGCCTGCTCTGTTAAAAGAATTATTTTTAGATGTACTAGAAAAGAACAATTCAACTTTGGTTTAATTAAAACATACTATTTTTCCAGAAGGATGCATAAATTTGGAAGTTGCATTCCTGAGCCACCTGTTCTCCAATGCATTTCACTTAGGTATATATTAATTCAAAGAGTTAAGCTCCTACTATTAGGCATATCTAGCTACTTGCAGTTTACTGGCTTGAGCAGCAAGTTGGAGTGGCTTGTTGTCTCAGCCAGAAGAGAAAATTGTCGTCTAGTATAATCAAAAGATTTCTATCATAAACGGTAATAGGTTTGGTAGCTGCAAAGAGAGACAAGAGATAAACTCACTGAGAGATGGCATAAGGAAACACAGCGCGTTTGGGGTTTGTGTGTTTGGCTGGGCTTGCTGAAACCAAGCCGTTCTGGATGCTCCTAAGTTTGCAATTCCAGATGCGGAAACTCAGGTGGTAAAAATAGATCATGTTCGTCAACTCACTGAACTCAGTTGGAGCAATAAAGATGCATTTATGGTCACAGTCTTCTAGTGGCAATGTTCAGGAAAGCCAAAGGTTCATTTTTCCTAATTGCCCAACTAGGCAAGTTATATGTGTTTGGTGGGTTTTTTCCTACCCCTGAAGATGGCAAAAGCCAATTCAAGAGCATTAAGAAACTCACAAGACTTGATCACTGTGAGATAAAATGAATGTCTTCATCTGAATGTAGTCTTGTGCATGCAAAAAGATAAAAATGAAATGGTTTGTTGTGCCTGGTTAAAAAAATCTGAACAACATACACTCAGAAAAGGAGTCTACGAGGTAAGATGAGATTTTTAAGCAGAAATTTGTTATCTGGTGGTGGGGGGCCAAGCAGTGTTTTGTTGGTTTGGGTTTTTTTTTTAATATGTCTAGCACACAAGTTTCCATTAACAGAAATGGATCTCGCTGTCAGTTGATCACAATCGTATCAGTGCTATGAGCATTGCCACAGAACAGCAAGCGGCCTCCTGCCAGCCCCAAACCAGCTGTGTGAATCACACGTTCTCTGCGCGCTGGCCTTGCGTCAGCTCTCGTCCGTAACGAATGTTACACAGTTCATACTACTAAAGTGATAACATTACTGTCCAAGAACTCTTCTTACAGGAATATTTCTTTTTTCCTGCTGCAGTGCTCCAGTCTGTCCTCATATGTTTATGTGTGCCCGTCTGTGCATGTGAATAATTTTGCGATCATTTTCCAGTAGTGCTGTTACAAGTCATGCACATAAAAGCCCCTGTGTACAGCATGTTGATAATGTAATTATGGCTTACTTTGTATTACTAGTTCCAAAGAAAATAATGCTTGTTCATTTTGAAAACACCTGTGCCTTGAATTCACCTATATTTTTATCTATTGTGAAAAAGAGCTTGGATTACTTCTCCCAGTTTATCTTTATTAGGATCGGTCTTACTGTCCAGAATGTTGATGTCCTTCTAAGAGAAATAAATCTTGCCATTCATTAACTAAGTTAAACCTCTTGTTTAGAATATGCCTAGAATGCTTCCATTTTTACAGTGCTATGGCAGATTTAATCTAAGGAAATGAGTATCTGTTTTTTCCTGTTTTTTGTTTCCAGCACTCCTCAGTGACAAAGGATTTGAGCTTAGTCTCTGACTTCCTGTCCTTAACACCAACAGTTTCTTGTTTTAGTCAATAGCCTCTACGATATTTCTGAACGCTCTGACTTGTCAGTCATGAGCCTCGTGTTAAATATATGTAATATGAAGCAATAAGCAAATCAAGAGACTTGAATGTAATGTGCTGTTACTAATTTCATCTGTGTAAATGCTGGACTATGAGTCATTCTCCTTTCGGTGCACCTGTAGCAATTTGGAGTCTGATTAACAGGAGCTACTTGGCCATGGAAAGTTTACCTCCTGAACTGTTACTCATACGATATTTCATCTTCACCTGAAATCATGTTTCGATTTTTCTTTTTTTTTCTGAGGAAAAACAGCAGTTCATGTTGTTCCTTGCCAGTTCCTTTATTTACTGAAACATAAAAGGCGTAGTTCCACGAAGAGCTGATCTTGTCTTCAAGAATGACCTGGTGCAGTACAAATGACATTGGAACAAAAAAAGTGCAGACCACTTACTGTGTGCCAGAGTCAATGTAATGTTGTCTCACATACAACATCAAGGTCTTCAGATTGTGCTGACAGTAGAAAAGTGATTTTGTAACGTAGCACAATTGCAATAACACCTGTTATATTTAAATATATTCCTTGCATAATTCTTTGAAAGTTTTTTTAAAGTTCATTGTATCTAATAAACATTTGCCTTTTGAAGAGTTCGCTGTGTTTTATTAAAGCGATGGGAATTTCCAGGGTGGGGCTTGGCA